CGCACCTTAGAGGGAACCATCTGCGGACCACCTGAATGGAGCTCGTGGACAACTGGTGGTCTGTGGAGCACAGTTTGAGAACTTCTGCTCTATCATAAAGGCAATAAACTAGGGCTGGCTGTCGATAAACCGCAGTTAACTTACGCGATTAACTCAAAAAAATTAATCATGATTAAAAAAATTTATCATGATTAATCGCAGTTTTAATCACACTGTTAAAAAATAGAATACCAATTGAAATGTATTAAATATTTGAGATGTTTTTCTACATTTTCAAATATATTGAGTTCAGTTGCAACACAGAAAACAAAGTGTACACTGCTCACTTTATATTATTATTTTTAATTATAAATATTTGCCCTTTAAAAATAATAAACAAAAGAAATAGTTTTTTTCAATTCACCTCATACAAGTACTGTCATGCAATCTCTTTATCAGGAAAGTGCAACTTATGAATGTAGATTTTTGTTGTTGTTACATAACTGCACTCAAAAACAAAACAATATAAAACTTTAGAGCCTAAAAGTCCACTCAGTCCTACTTCTTGTTCAGCCAATCGCTAAGACAAACACGTTTGTGTACATTTGCTGGAGAAAATGTTGCCCGCTTCTTATTTACAATGTCACCTGAAAGTGAGAACAGGCGTTCACATGGCACTTTTGTAGCCAGCATTGCAAGATATTTACATGCCAGATATGCGAACCATTTGTATGCCTCTTCATGCTTCAGCCACCATTCCAGAGGACATGTTTCCATGCTGATGATGCTCGTTAAAAAAATAATATGTTAATTAAATTTCTGACTGAACTCCTTGGGGGAGAATTGTATGTCTCCTGCTGTTTTACCCGCATTCTGCCATATATTTTGTGTTATAGCAGTCTTGGATGATGACCCAGCACATGTTGTTCATTTTAAGAACACTTTCATTGCAGATTTGACAAAATGCAGAGAAGGTACCAATGTGAGGTACCTATTTCTAAAGATAGGTACAGCACTAGACCCAAGGTTTAAGAATCTGAGGTGCCTTCCAAAATCTGAGAGGGACGAGGTGTGGAGCATGCTTTCAGAAGTCTTAAAAGAGCAATACTGTGATGCAGAAACTACAGAACCCGAACCACCAAAATAGAAAATCAACCTTCTGTTGGTGACATCTGACTCAGATGATGAAAATGAACATGTGTCGGTCTGCACTGGTTTGGATCGTTATTGAGCAGAAACCGTCATCAGCATGGACATATGTCCTCTAGAATTGTGGTTGAAGCATGAAGGGCCATATGAATCGTTAGCACATCTGGCACGTAAATATCTTTCGACGCCGGCTACAACAGTGCCATGCGAACACCTGTTCTCGCTTTCGGGTAACACTGTAAACAAGAAGTGGGCAGCTTTATCTCCTGCAAATGTACACAAACGTGTTTGTCTGAGTATTGGCTGAACAAGAAGTAGGACGGAGTAGACTTTTAGGCTCTAAAGTTTTACATTGTTTATTTTTGAATGCAGTTATTTTTTAAACATAATTCTACATTTGTAAGTTCAACTTTCAAGGTAAAGGGATTGTACCAGAGTACTTGTATGAGGTGAATTGAAAAATACTGATTCTTTTGTTTTTTACAGTGCAAATATTTGTGATAAAAAATAAATATAAAGTGAGCACTGTACCCTTTGTATTCTGTGTTGTAACTGAAATCAATATATTTGAAAATGTAGAAAACATCTGAAAATATTTAAATAAATGGTATTCTATTATTTTTAACAGCGTGATTAATCACAATTGATTTTTTTAATCACTAGACAGCCCTACAATAAACCTTTATTTTCATCATCAGTAGTAGATCATCGCCTATATCTTCTGCAGTGTTTATCATATTCTTTATAGAATGAGGCTGTGTCTGCATGTTTTCCTGTGCTGATTGTCTTGTCCTTCTCCACCTGATGCTTTGAGAGTCTCCTTACAGCTTCCGTATAAGATATGTTATTAACAATTTTTGTCTTGTGTATCTCTTTAGCTTGCCTTGCCATGATACACTCTCTCTATGCCAGACTGTTGTTACCACTGCAGTTGCTACATTTGACCTCTGTTCCTTCCATACCATTTTCATAGGAGTGCTCTCCCCTAGATTTATCACATCTTGTTTTCCCTTTACAAGCTGCAGTTGGCACTTATAACACCTTAAGGCAGAGATGATATATGGCTTGGTTCTTTAATATCTGAAACCTTAGTGTGACTTTCTCAGGTAGAGTCCCTCCCTTACATGTAATCGGTACAGCTATTGATGGCTTGCTTTCTCCTCCTCATTTAACAATTAGTCATTGACTTTAACACTTTATCTTCTCCTATGCTTAGGGTTATCTCAACATTGGTCAGCTCTAATGACACTCCATATATTACCCCATTTTTTCCAGTCAAATACTTTGGTAGCTGCAACTTATTTTAAACTTTCCCTAAATTTTAGTTTTTAGCAGTTTGTCAGCTTGTTCTTTATTTTTACATTCAACTAAAAGATCACCATCTCGCAGCCGTAGACAACCTGTGCCTGACAATATTGGGCGAGCATAATGTAAAGTAGGGGCCATGTGACTGCCCCACATGTAACCTCTGGGATGAACCTTCCAGCCCCACATCCTTGGGACAGGGCAGCCAATCCCGCCAGCTTCTGGGGGTGGGGTGGGCCACAGGAGCAGGGACAATGTGCCTCTGGGGCAGCTCAGGGAGACTCATAGCACTAGTGTCTTCCTGAAGTTCCCGCACCCTCATAGACACCTCATCAAGGGGAGGGGCGTGGCCAATGCTCTTCCCTCCAGCTGAGCAGAGGGAGCCTGCTGCCAGCACCTTCCCCAGCAAACCCAGCTCTGTGGACTGCTGCGCTCTCCCCTCCAGAGTTACCTGCCCCTGGAGTGGGGGGGGGTCTCTGTCCTTCTCCTGCTGCACCTCCCCCAGCATGCTTCGGACTTACTTGGCCCGTGTCTCTGACAGCCGGGCCCAGGTGGGAAGCGGAGAGGGCGGGACAGAGTCACTTCTCATGCCAGCTGAGGGTGGCCAGTCAGGGTTTCTGCCTCTGTGCGGCACAGTGGGTATCTGCGAGAGAGCCCAGCTTGGGAGGCAGTGGCAGCGGACTGCCCCTCTGCTCCCTGCCCAGCCCAGCTGCCAGGGAGAGGGGCCAAGTGAGCTGGAAGTGCCGGGGTGCACAGCAGCAGAGAAGGCTAGAGCTCCCCTCCCCCCGCCAACAGGCTGAGCAGAGCAAGCCATGCAAGGGCAGCTCAGCACTCAGAGAAATCGGGGGGGGGGGCACTTGACCCCGCACCCACCCCATGCATCGCCTCTGCTCGCAGCCTCCTCACTCTTACAATATTCCCTCTGCTTTTGCTTAGTCCAGTCAGCTACTTTCACAGGGTTAGCATCACCTAATCTTATTTCTTTGGCTAGGGATCTTACACTTACAACCATTTGGTTTATTTCCTTCCTCAGCTTTGCTTTTTTTTGCTGATATCATCATCTGCTTCTGCTTCTACTCTTTCCCCCCTATTTTGTTTCCATTCTTCCTCAGGAATAGACTCTTCTTCAGTTTCCAGAATAACATCATTTGGGGTCAGAAAATTCTCCATCTCCCCCCAGCCCTCACCCTTTCTGTTGACACCTTCCTGGCTTTATATTAGCCCAGTTCACACCTGTTCAGCAAAGCTTCATCTTCCAATCCAGGGTTGCTTCTGCAGGTGTGGCCTATCACACTAATTGGCCCTTTCTCAGCTTCCTTAATCCTTTCAGGGCTGGTGTGGGGTGAACACTCCATCACATTTGCCATCTAATTATTATTAATCTTGTTTATTACAATATTGTCTAGGGACCATACAAGAACAGAGCCCTATTGTGCTAGGCACTGTACGAATACAGAGTAGTAGATGGTCCCTGTCTCAAAGAGTTACAGTCTAAATATTCAAGACAGACACAGGGGAGAAGGGGTAGAACCCACAAACAGAGAAAACAGTGTGATGACACTAAATGTTGTGTTAGTCCCACCATTTTGTTGTTGTTGGGGGTGCAGGGGTTATTTAGGAGAGGATTAGCTGAATGGAAAGACAAGGGAAAAGAGAGGGGTAAAGGGAACAGAATAGGAGAAGTGACTGAGGGGAGGAAGGTATGAGGGGAAGGTGTGGAGTGAGACTGCAATGAAGACACTGCGAGGGAGGGGCAAGTAGGGGTTGGAGCTGCTTCCGTAGTTGCTGTGCTGGCTGCGATCTCTAGCTGGCTCTTCCCTGCAGTGTCCTTCCCCAAGATCACATGACTGGGGGAGGAGGGGTGCTGCTTGCCCACAGCATGTGTTTATGTCTTCCTTTCACAGTTCTGGGCCAAGGGGTACTGGTGGAGGGATGCCCTCACATGGGCCTCATTTTAAACCTTCCCCTCAACCCCCCTCGTGTTCTCCCCACCCGCAATGGTGCAGTACGTGATTCTGTAGCTGCTTTGCCAGCTAACTGAGGTATGGAGGCAAATTCTCTGCCTGTGTAACTCTGTTGACTTCAATGGGGTTATGCCAGCAGAGAATTTAGCCCATGAATTGCAACATGGAGAATGACACAGGGAAATAAGAATACCCATTTAACATTTTGTCCCGTCTTTCTATCTCACCGTCTTTTGGGACACATACCTGTTATTCAGACAATATTCCCATTTTAATCAATGTAAGGTTTGCCAGAATAAGGAATTACAGATCTGTCCATGAAAACTTTGGTAGCATATTGGCGATTCCCCTATTTGAGTTTTGTGAAATAAAACCTTCCCAAAGCAATGACTTGTTTGTGAAATCCCTAGGGAGTGGAGGGACAATAAGGTGTTACAGATGAAGACTGAAGTAAACTGGGTTTCATAATAACATTCATAATATAATCTGTGGTACAAAGAAATCAGTTTGCTTTATTCGCCTTCTCTTCCTTGGATTTAAGAAATGAGAAAATATTGAATGAAGCTGAGACTTACCATTTCCTGTGATGTAAATGTCTTGTAGCTGAAGACTGATTCAGAGAAACGGTCCGTAACAGACAGTGAAAACTGGGGCAGCACTGAAGAACTGAAGAAGCCAGAGGAGGACTTTGACAGCAACGTAGACAGCAGTGGGAAATGGAAGGGCCTTCCCTCGGGGCTGTCTGAAGACTCAGAGAAGGGAGGTCAGAAAGCATCTCTGTCTGTTTCACAGACTGGATCCTGGAGGAGAGGCATGACAGCACAAGTCGGAACGACCTCATCCAGACACAAAGCTGGGACAAGTGCTCTCAAGACACCTGGTAGGATTATAGCTCAGAAAAAAGAGTTTGTAACGGGTTAATAATAATTAATAGATGTTTAAGCATGTCACAGATAGTAGAAGGTGTTACAAATGGTTATAAACCGTGGTTATAAGCCATTGACTCACCTATTAGTCTCTACGACAATTAATTAACCATTTATTAAAATATCTATTAATCATTTATTAACCATGTATAGAGGTACCCTTAATATAAAGTGTGACTGAATTTTGCTTTATTATCATAGGAGTAACGTAATTTCTTATCAGGGAATTGTAATGTATTGTTTCCCTCTGTTTTTCTTTCTGTTATTTTATGTTCTCGGAAAGACTTACCCCAACAGCTGTTGAGAGTGTGAAACAAAAACAACACAGTATAGGGGAAATGCATTGACACTGAGGTGAGATAAACCAAAGTGAACATTTTTGAATCAAAGTTTAAGGGTCAAATGAGGCTCCAGCTATAAATAGTGTAGCTTACTGCTAAGAGAATTCTCTCTCTCCTTTTTAAAACGTGTGCAACTTTTTCTACAATACTAGCTGACTTTGTAAAGGTTCAGAGATATATCATCCCCCCAAAGGCCTCTTAAAAATAGTAGCAGCCAGTGTCAGTGTTTTGGCAATCTAATTTTGGAGCCAAAAATCATAAAATGATAGGAAGTAAAGATGGAAAAGACCTCTATTAGATTGTCTAGCCATCCTTCTGCCAATGCCAGGTTGTTCTCTGTAGTACATTTTTTAGCACATGGCCCTGTCTAGTCAAAAATGTTTCTTTCAAGAACATTTAAAAGTTATTGGTAAAGATTTTATGAACCAGCAGAGGAGTCTTCAGCCCAAGTCTGGCATGGGTTACAAGCCACATTTGCATGTCCCTGATTCCCTGGGGCTGCCAAGTGCCAGTCTGGCCCCAGAGTGTGAATTTAGAGAAGCCTGAAGACTGCTTTTATCTACACCATCTTCAGCACCCCTTCTGGGTCCATTCCAGCAGCTAGAGAACATCTGGACTCAGATATGCTCTGGCTACACCCGTGCACTAGCAACTAGGAGTAGGGTGACATAAGGACCACTATTGCTGCTCTGTACCACCCAACGATTTCCCCATGCTGGTGGAATCCTCTGTTCCATTGGAACAGAGCAGTGCAGCAGAAAATTGAAGTTTTTATTTATTTTGAAAAAATCCATATAGTCTGTGTATGTATGTATTTATATATGCACATATGATATATACGTGTGAGAGAGTGTACAATGCACTGTGTGTGTATATGTACATATATACCTATTTCTACAGTAATGGAGTTGGATAGAATAAGAGAAATGTAATAAACGTCTTCCTCTTCATGACAGTTTGACACCACAAGAGGAACCACTCCATAGAGCTACAAACTTGATATAATAACTTGATATATTAATGAAATACTATAATTGTCTTTAGAAGTTCTTATGATCTTAGTGTAGGCACTGTACAAGAAATCAAAATTAAAGAATGCAGAGAAACGTGACCATTTTGATTGTCACCACAAAGGTGTTTGTAAAGGTAAAATAACGTGATTGTTTTAAATCATATTTGTAAACATTTTTAACATTTCACAATAGCACTGTATAGCAATGTAATCTAGAAAGATGCATGTGTGTGTACTAATGAGGACAATCTCATACAAATAACAATCGTGAAGAGATACTAGGGATATGACAAATAAAATTAAATCATAATACTGACCTGGATAAACAGTATTATGACTTATTATTGTCATTAGATTGTAAATACTCATTGATAATTGTTTGCACTTTTACCATCACAATGAAATTAATTATAAGTGAATGAAAACATATGCAATGAAAGCAAAACTGAAGAATGAAGGCGAATTCATTTCTTCAAAGATAAGTAATGTATTTTAATTGAATTCACCCACGAAAGCTTATGCTCCAATACTTCTATTAGTCTTAAAGGTGCCACAGGACCCTCTGTTGCTTTTTACAGATTCAGACTAACACGGCTACCCCTCTGATACTAGATATTAATTGGTGTGTTTTCTTATGGCAATTTATCTGCTTGTATATCATTTATATCTCAAAATACAACCATGTAGTAATTATAACTTGATATTAAGATACTATAGCTATAAATACAGAGGTCTAAATAAAATATACTCTTAATTAGGAAAAACAGATGATGCGAAGGCTTCTGAAAAAGTGAAAACTCCCCTCAAAGGCACCTCTATACAGCGCTCTCCATCAGACGCAGGAAAAAGCAGTGGCGATGAAGGAAAAAAGCCTCCCTCTGGCATTGGACGATCAACAGCTACTGGCTCCTTTGGATTCAAGAAGGCTGGGGTGGGATCTTCGACTATAATCACCACAAGTGGGGCAACCATAACAAGTGGGTCGGCGACACTGGGGAAGATGCCCAAATCCTCAGCCATTGGTGGCAAGTCAAATGCAGGGAGGAAAACTAGCTTAGATGGGTCACAGAATCAGGATGACGGTGTATTACATGTTAACTCAAAGACCACACTGCAGTATCGGAGTTTGCCACGCCCTTCAAAATCGAGCACCAGCGGTATTCCCGGAAGAGGTGGACACAGGTCCAGCACCAGCAGCATCGACTCTAATGTCAGCAGCAAGTCTGCAGGTGCTGCCACCACCAAACTGAGAGAGCCCACGAAGATTGGCTCAGGGCGCTCCAGTCCCGTCACCATCAATCAGACAGACAAGGAAAAAGAGAAAGTGGCGGTGTCTGATTCCGAGAGTGTTTCATTGTCCAGTTCCCCCAAATCCAGCCCAACCTCCGCCAGTGCCTGTGGGACACCAGGTCTCAGGCAGCCAGGATCCAAATACCCAGACATTGCCTCGCCCACATTCCGAAGGTAAGGGGTTTGCTATGAAATCCTGCATTTAAAAATAAAGTGTGAAAGAAATATAAAATATTTATTAACAGAATTCTTAAGGAATGAGGCTCTCACTGCAACCCTGAAATGAGTGTTCCTTGAATTTTGACCACTGTCCCACAGTAGCTACATGTAAATCATGAAGAGTATAACAAGTTCTCATTGAATATTAAGATAAATCCCCAAATAGAAGAATGTCCTCTCATTTATGGAGGTTCTGTCACTTTAATGGTGTTTGAAGCCTGTGGGGAAAAAAACCTAATGAGCATTTGACTCCATAGAAATACAGATTAATAAAGTATTTGCTTTTAAAATTGTCAGCAACCTCTAGCTATAAGGATTTTATTATCTTTGTCATTTTGTTACGTCCCCTGTCAGAAACATTAACAAAATGTGAATCGGTTGGAAATGCCCTAGTCTAATGTTTATGAAAGTGCACTAGATGAAAGGCATCCATTGTTTAAGTAAAAGCCAATGCTGCCCTCCTGTGGTCTATTGCCAATACGTTTCCATTTAGTGTCTGTAAAATGACTGACCTACTGTTGATTATCATGGGCTTTATTATAAATAAAAGAGATTGCTATGCCATCTTTATTGATTACTTTATTTCTGTGCAAGTTTTGCATTTATATTGAGAGTGTATTATGGACTGCAAACAAAGTGCTTAAGATATTTTCAGCAAGAGACTAAACCATCATTGACTATATTTCAACTTATTTTCCGGGGGCGGGACAGGGTTTGCATTATTATAGTAGAAACATAACCTCCATAAAGTGCTGGTAACAGCCACATTGCATGCATGTCTGTCTTTTCTGCCCTTGGAAAAGGCTTGACACATTTAGCTCTGTGTATATTATTGTATCTGACTAATTACTATTTGGCTGATATCCATACCACCATCTGTGCAAAAGAGGGGGGAAAGGGGGAGGGGGGAAGTCTTGGACAAATATTTAGCTGTTTGACAAACTGTGAAGAGTGCCCTTTTACAAGTGATTGTTGCAATCATTTTAGCTGCTTATTGGAAGTAATGTTTTTAGTAGTCTAATGGTTTAAGTGTAGGAGTGTAGGAGTTAAACTAACTACTGGATTTGAGTGAAAGTTTAATCTGTTTATGCAGTCATAAAACCAAAGATTTGCTTGTTTTTCATCTCTGTGTGAAGATCTATACCTAAACAGAACACATCTGAAAAACAGCGAATGAGAGTTTTTGATAATAAAATAAACCCCGTGTTAGTGTGATGTAGTTAAGTGGATTTAATGTTGTGAGGTGATTAATCAACAAGGAGTGCATTATTTGAGTAGCAGTAATTAAATGTGGAATTTGGCTCTCGTGATGTTATGCCTTGAATGTTTAAGGTGGGTGTCAGTTTCTCTGAATAACAACTAAAACTGTTTGTTTTACTTTTAGGTTGTTTGGTGCCAAGGCTGGTGGCAAAGCTGCCTCTGCACCCAATACTGAAAGTGTGAAACCCACATCAGCAATGCCCAGCCCTAGTACCACATTAGCACGGCAAGGAAGCCTAGAATCTCCATCTTCGGGTACAGGCAGCATGGGCAGTGCAGGTGGGCAAAGTGGTAGCAGCAGCCCCCTCTTCAGTAAACCCTCGGAATTAAATACAGATGTTGTAAGCTTAAGTCACTCCTTGGCTTCCAGTCCAGCATCTGTTCACTCTTTCACATCAGGTGGTCTCGTGTGGGCTGCAAACCTGAGCAGCTCCTCAGCTGGCAGTAAGGACACACCAAGTTACCAGTCAATGACTAGCCTGCACACGAGCTCTGAATCTATTGATCTCCCTCTGAGCCATCATGGCTCTCTCTCTGGATTGACGACAGGCACTCAGGAGGTTCAGAGCATGCTCATGAGGACTGGAAGCGTCAGATCTACACTATCGGAAAGGTGAGCTGAACCGTAGACACAGTGAGAACAAAAACAGTAAGAATGCAACAGAAACAACCTAAAGAGAAAGCCGATAGGGACACCATCAAAAAAAGAGAGAGAGAGAAAAGTAATCACCAGCGCTGAACCTGGCACACAGCTCGTGGCCACTTTTTGCTGTTTTACAAGCACATTTTCTGTTTTTCACTCTCTTCTTGCTCTGTGAAAGAGCAGCACAAAATCAAAAACCAACGAATTCCCCAATCTGGCAACTTGTTTCCCATGGGAGATCCTGTGTGCAGTCCCCATTGAGGTCGATGGGAGGTTCACTTGGGAGGTAAACTTGCAAGATCATGGCATAGCTACACAAAGTTTTGACAAGTTCTGCACAGAACATGCAGACTAGAACAAGAGAAATCCCACCTCCCCATAATCTCTTCACTGTCTTGTCTACCCACGAACATTGTACTGCTTTAACTATGCAGGTATAAAGTATAACTCCTCTAGCATGGATTAAGTTATACCAATATAAAGGTTCTTGTACTGGTATACCTTATATGTCTGTACAGGGAGGGAAATAAGTTGAACTAGTAAGGAAATGGTTTTCCCATCCCTGAGAGCTTTTGAGATTTCAAAAAAAAAATATTTCTTAATTTATGGCAAAAAGTTCAAATCCCAAACATTTTTTAACCAATAATCTGAAAATAAGTGGACCAGGTCAAGAAAAGTGTTTTGTTTCAATACTTGTGAAATGTTTCCTTTCAATTTCAACCATTTTCAATTTTGTAAAACATTTTTAGTATAAATTTACTAAAAATTCAAAATGAAAAGTAGCTTTGAACCGAAAACCAAAACTGTTTGTTTAGAAAATGAAAAACAGAACATTTAGACAATTTCAAAACTTTTTTTTTTCCAAAAATTGGAAGATTTATCAAAACCAAGCCATTCCTGCAAACAATTCCACTTTTGATGAATGGACATTTTCCAATGAAAAAATGTTGTGTTGGAAAATTCACAACCAGAAAAAAGCTGTACTGGTATAAGGCATTTTTGTGCTGGTATAACTGCATCCCCACTTGGGGTTGTAGCAGTTTACGTATATTGGTAAAAAATCACGCCCATAAGCATCGTAGTTATGCCAGGTACACAATCTGTGTAGACCAGCAGAAAGATAAAAAGACATTGACACCACACGTGATTTTAAGTTGTCTGTGGCCCCTCAATGTATATGTAGTAATTACATTATATTAGGGCTGTCGATTAATCTCAGTTAACTCAGGCGATTAACTCAAAAAAATTAATGGTGATTAAAAAATTTAATCACGATTAATCACAGTTTTAATTGCACTGTTAAACAATAGAATACCAGTTGAATTGTATTAAATATTTTGGATGTTTTTCTACATTTTCAAATATATTGATCTGAATTACAACGCAGAATACAAAGTGTACAATGCTCACTTTATAATATTTTATGATGAATGTTTGCCCTGTAATAATGATAAACAAAAGAAATAGTATTTTTCAATTCACCTCATACAAGTACTAAATCTCTTTATAAGGAAAGTGCACCTTACAAATGTAGATTTTGTTGTTGTTACATAACTGCATTCAAAAACAAAACAATGTAAAACTTTAGAGCCTAAAAGTCCACTCAGTCCTACTTCTTGTTCAGCCAATCGCTAAGACAAACAAGTTTGTTTACATTTGCAGGAGAAAATGTTGCCCGCTTCTTATTTACAATGTTACCTGAAAGTGAGAACAGGCGTTCACATGTCACTTTTGTAGCCGGTATTGCAAAGTATTTACGTGCCAGATATGCTAAACATTTGTATGCCTCTTCATGCTTCAGCCACCATTCCAGAAGACATGTTTCCATGCCAATGATGCTCGTTAAAAAAATAATGCATTAATTAAATTTCTGACTGAACTCCTTGGGCGGGGGGGAGAATTGTATATCTCCTGCTCCGTTTTACCCATATTCTGCCATATATTTTGTGTTATAGCAGTCTCGAATGATGACCCAGCACATGTTGTTCATTTTAAGAACATTTTCACTGCAGATTTGACAAAATACAGAGAAGGTACCAATGTGAGATTTCTAAAAATAGCTACAGCACTCGACCCAAGGTTTAAGAATCTGAGGTGCCTTCCAAAATCTGAGAGAGATGAGGTGTGGAACATGCTTTCAGAAGTCTTAAAAGAGCAACACTCTGATGCAGAAACTACACAACCCAAACCACCAAAAAATAAAATCAACCTTCTGTTGGTGGCATCTGACTCAGATGATGAAAATGAACATGCATTGGTCTACACTGGTTTGGATCGTTATTGGATGCATGTTCTCCAGAATGGTGGTTGAAGCATGAAGGGACATATGAATCGTTAGCACATAAATATCTTTTGATGCTGGCTACAACAATGCCATGTGAATGCCTGTTCTCACTTTCAGGTGACACTGTAAATAAGAAGCGGGTAGCATTATCTCCTGCAAATGTAAACAAAATTGTTTGTCTGAGTGATTGGCTGAACAAGAAGTAGGACGGAGTGGACTTTTAGGCTCTAAAGTTTTACATTGTTTATTTTTGAATGCAGTTATTTTTATACATAATTCTACATTTGTAAGTTCAACTTTCATGGCAAAGAGATTGCACTACAGTACTTGTATGAGGTGAATTGAAAAATACTGTTTCTTTTATTTTTACAGTGCAAATATTTATAATAAAAATAAATATAAAGTGAGAACTGTACACTTTGTATTCTGTGTTGAAATTGAAATCTATATATTTGAAAATGTGTAAAACATCTGAAAATATTTAAATAAATGGTATTCTATTATTGTTTAAAAGCATGATTAATCATGATTAATTTTTTTTAATCGCTTGACAGCCCTACATTATATTTCACCAACTGAAAAGGACAATATTGTACATAATATTAAATATGATTTTTTTAGTTTATAGAGTAATTTATTGTGTTCCTCCATTAACTCCTACTATTACATTTCAGAATGAGAAAGTCAATAAGAAGATATGGAAGGATGTTGAGTATATGCTAAATCTTATAGTCTTGCAAAAGATGTTTAATATCACATTAATGTTAATAGCTTGGTGTAAGCTCCTGAGCAGCTCCAACTTCTAATACTTCATGTATTTGTTCAGTGACTTAATTTCAGTGATTCCAAATACTTTTAAAATTTCGTATCTGTCCACGTGGGGATATTTTGACTGAGTCCTGAGAGAGCCATATATCATGTTGATCTGGCCTCAGAATGAATCAACACACAGATTTCTAGAAAAAGTTGTCATTTCTTGATTTATAGCCCCAATAGGATTTTTTTAGTCTGATTTTTTTCCCAAAAGGTCTGTTAAAAAAAACTATATTGTTTTATACAGTTGAACCTTCTTATGCTTTTTCCAACAAAAATGTAGTTTCGCAACATTAAGAGACAGAAAAAGGTCCCCTTCTCTTCACCCTGTAAGCCACAGTTATAGAGGCACTGGTTGCTTTCCAGACCCATACTGTTAGTAGTCTGGAAAGCCGTGCGGGAGTAGCTGTAGCAAGATTTATTCTTCTTTCTTTACTGGGAGCAGTTGCACGAGACTGAAAGAGCTTCTAATAAGCTGCATTGCCGGCTGCGGGTATATCTATATCAGCATAGCTATACCAGCAAATCCTTTTAAGTGTGGTCAAGGCTTGAGGGGAGAATTTATACCACTATAACAGTATAGACACACTTATTCTGGAATAAGAATGGCTTTCTCAGTTTATGTTATGTCACTTTGGAAGGCCCCAAAAAGCCACTCCTATATCCAGAATAAGAGCGTCCATATGGAAAGTTATACTAGTATAATTTCTGTCGGTTTAATTATATTGGTATTGACTGGTAAAACTATCTTGTGTAGACAAACCCAAAGTCAGAGATTCCTCTGTATTTTTTACTCTGTGGAGTATTTACAACTTTTATGTTCCTATTCTGCATGGCCAGAGCAGAGGAGGTGGGATAGTAGATAAGTGTTGCAGAATTAACACTGTCTAGATCAGTGTTTCCCAAACTTGGGACACCGCTTGTGTAGGGAAAGCCCCTGGCGGGCCGGGCAGGTTTCTTTACCTGCCCCGTCCGCAGGTCCGGCCGATCGCAGCTCCCACTGGCCGCGGTTCGCTGCTTCAGGCCAATGGGAGCTGCTGGAAGCGGCGGCCAGTACGTCCCTTGGCCCGGGCTGCTTCCAGCAGCTCCCATTGACCTGGAGCAGTGAACCGCGGCCAGTGGGAGCCATGATCGGCGGAACCTGCAGATGCGGCAGGTAAACAAACCGGCCCGGCCCACCAGGGGTTTTCCCTACACAAGCGGCATCCCAAGTTTGGGAAACACTGGTCTAGATGGTCAACGGGCTGTATCATGGGCTGCTGTGCTCAACAGCAGTCAGGTAACCCGTTACAGCTCCTTGATTCTCCATCTCATCCTTGGACTAGTCCCAGCTAGAGCAGCCTAGGTGCTGCTTTAACTTGTTCCTGCTGATTATGTTCCCTAAGGGTCCCAATTTTATAGGGACAGTCCCAATATTTGGGAATTTGCCTTATATAGGTACCTATTACCCTCACCCCTTGTCCCGATTTTTCACACTTGCTATCTGGTCACCCTACCTGAGGGCCATACACTAGTTAGGTATAGCCAATTGCATTTCACACCATCCACGTCCTCACCCAACCTCTGAATCCCCCCCCCCCGAGCAAGGGGCCGTGAGTAGGGAAAAAGAGGGGTCATCTGTGGTCTCCAGGGACTTCTGGAGAACCTCAGAGAGAGACTTGTGGATGGTTTCCACAGCTCAAAGGGAACAGAATGGGGATAGAGAATCTGCCCCAATGTCTAGAAGGGGAATGTGGGCTTGACAACCGGAGCATTTATGCACGTCTGCTTGCAGCACTGCTGTTGGTAGTTTACAAGGTGTATGATAACGTTGGTATTTATAACATTTTGTGCCATTCTCCCCCTCAGTCGTTCTGACTTAAAAAGGCAGTTCACCACACTTGTGATGGGTCTTCCAAGAAACTTCAGATTAACACGTTAAATCTGACTTGTTTGTAAATTATCTTCAGAGGTCTATAAACCAGTAGGGTCCGCGTAGCTGTGACCTAGCAGTATTACTCTGCATTACAATTCAGAAGATCTACTTTCGTTTACTGGTTCTGGTTTTTCCTTTAACCCCATAGTTATTAGCGTTTGTAGAAGCAACATGCTCAGCTTCATAAAGGGGGAGGAGGTGCTTCCTGATGCTGAAAAGAAAAGACCTGGCCAGTTAAGGAAGTGAATTAACATGCTGTCATATTAGCATTAATTATTAATAGCTGCAATGTGGACATCTCAATTTTGGAGGATTAGTCATAGAATTTAATAATATTTTGAAATACAGAATAAATGCTTGTTTAGTTTTATGTTGGGCAGCTAAATAATATATTGAAGTGGCACCTAATGGCACAAATCAAGAATCAGGGCCTTGTTTATTATAGAGGACTAGTAAATGCATGAACAATGCATTAAAATCCATGTAATCTCCTTCTCAGCCAGGGTTAATTTTTGATGATTGTTCATGTGCCAGGCTGGAAATCAAGTTATAGGTTTATCAATGGACCAATCACTTGTAGACAGTTATTGTCAAGCTTACACTGCATCACCTCTATGGGCATGTCTATACTGCCTGAGGTTCAGACTATGGTGGTCTGAATAGCAATGAGCACCAATATGCTGTACTGTAACTCCCCCGTGTGGATGCTGCAGGTGTGAACTAAAAGATTCCTCGTTCACATTAATGTAGACGGCTTCAAACAGGACTACATCAGTGTGAAGTAGGAACCTTTTAGTTCATGGCCATAGTGTCCACATGGGGGAGTTACAGTGCAGCACTTTGGTGCAAACTGCTGTTCACACCCCTGTAGTCTGAACTGTGAGGCAGTCTAGACAAGCCCTGAGTAGCTTCCATCAACTTTCTTCTCCCTGTGCAGAGTGAGGCCCTGACTAAATTAGGGACATTGGCTTTATTAATTCCTACCATTGCTAAGACCGGTTGAGCTCCTCTGGGGTTAGTAACGTTGAGAGCCCTAGCTGAGATGAGGGGCTGGTTAGAGCATTTTCAACATCTTGTCAACTAGACCTGCTGTGAGCACAGTTACATAAAACTATGTTGAAAACTCCAGTGCCCCATCTGTATGAGGGCTCTCAGCACTGCTAACACCACTGGAATTGAGCCAGTTAGCAATAGTGTGAAAGTTTTAGAACATTTCCCTAGGAAGGCAGTGTGGATCCAAGGGACTGTTTGTCTCCGATGCTTCTCTCGATGGTGTAAAGTACATGCTGCTTAGCTTTGTGGTGATGGTGTGATGCAACATAACCCCCCCCACACACACACACACATTTAATTTAATCCTCATATTGACATTGAATTATATTTCCAAAATAAAATAGTGTATTTCACTGAAGAGCCCAATCAAGTATTGCAATCACCAGACAGCTAAAATCCTAGATTATAGGCACCGATTTACTCAGATCCCAGGGGGTACTTGACCCCCACTCTGCCCCAGGTCCTGCCCCCTCTCCACCCCTTCCTCCAAGCCCCCACACCCGCCCTACCTCTTTCCACCCCTGCCCCGCCCCTGCCTGGCCTCTTTCCGCCCCTCTCCCCAGCACTTCCTGCCTGCTGCCGGTGGGTGCTGAGCACCCACTAATTTTTTTTCGTGAGTACTCCAGCCCTGGGTACCCAGGGAGTTGTTGCCTATGGCCTAGATAATTGGGGGAAGATAAACCACCTGAATTATTTCCTATTTGAAGGAAGATAAGGGACAGCCCTTTTAAGCAGCTCCCTGTCTCTGGAAGGATTTACACTGGTAAGAGCCCAATTCTCCTGTGCCTTGCATCTCATGTTGTTGTTCACTCCAGCACAAAGTGAGTTTTAAAATGCTTCTACCATCTAATCTGGTGGCATTTTACACTCCATCAGGGCCGGTGCAAGGAAGTTTCATGCCCTAGGCGAAACTTCCACCTTGCGCCCCCCGCCCCAGCCCTGCGGCAGCACCCCCCCCCCCCCCTGCCCTGAGGTGCCCCCCCCGTGGCAGCTCCCCCCTGTCCTGAGGCCCCCCCCGTGGCAGCTTCCCCCCTCCCCCGGGGAGCCGTGCTGCAGCTCCCCACCCCAGCTCACCTCTGCTCCGCTTCCTCCCTGAGCACGCCGCCTCTGCTCTAATTCTCCTCCCCTCCCAGGCTTGTGGCGCCAAACAGCTGATTGGCGCCGCAAGCCTGGGAGGCGGGAGAAGTGGAGCGGCCGCTGCGCTGGGAGAGGGAGTCTGAGCCGCACGTGTCAGCGCGCCGCCGGCAGCCAAGCCCAGGAACGCTGTAAAAAAAATTGGGGGCACCGCTTTTTGGCGCCCCCAAATCTTGGCGCCCTAGGCAACCGCCTAGTTTGCCTTAATGGTAGCACCGGCCCTGCACCCCATGTGCACTTGCATTGATTGCACAAGCAGCAAGACAATGGTGAATCAGTGTCTATATATTTAGCACATCTTCCTACAAACAGAATCTGCCACTTAGCTTCTGGCAAGGCCATGCTGCCTCTTTGCAGGTGTCACAAGCCTGCATTTTGTATAGAAACATAGCAAAAGATCATAGGAAGCTGTGAAAAATGCACGTTCATTCTGTGACCACATGAATCCCATACAGGTTGAGTCTGCATGACTCAGTAAGGAAGATTAAGAATTGGAAGGCAGAACGTCTGTCTGATTTGGACAGTCGCCAAATGGCTATTGACCCAGACCAGAGCATGTCTGGATGAAAAATGAACATGTGGCAATCCATGTCCTGTCTTCCTCTCTAATGAGTCAGGGTTTTATCATAAAGAGACATTAAAATATATTAAATCTCCTTTTGTTATATGAACATATCTAGACTTTTAGAGTTTGTTATTCTGAATAGTCCTGTTTACTGTATGTCCTTAGGGGTTTTCTTTGTTTTAACAGCATGCAGCTTGACAGAAATACACTACCCAAAAAGGGACTAAGGTATATACTTTATTCAGCATGATTGCAGCTTCTCTGTTGTTCTGTAAACTTTTCTACATTGTCTCTCCGTCTCTTTCTCCTTGCTGATCCTGTTTACAACAGAGCTCCTGGTGCTTAAGTTTAAATCAAGCAAACTAGACCCTTAACATTAGATTTTCTCTTTCCAGTCTGGCCTAGTAAGTAAATTGAGTATACAGATATATCTTGGAAAGCAAAAACTGTTAAAAATAGTTTCCTTATATAATGAATGTTAAGAGACATACAATGCAGTATAAAAAAGAGAGTAACAAAGTACCTTTGCAACACAAAGCAAACTGAAAATGGGCAGAATAACAAGGTTTTAGAGATGGGCCCGAACGTGGGCTCTAAGTGCAAGTAGCCATGGATTTGGGGTGGGGGAGAACTGCCATCGCAGATCCAGCTTGACGGGTTAAGGATTCACAACCTAAAAGAGACACATTTCAGCATCCAGGGTTTGAAAGCATAAGACAGGCCCTGCTCAGACACAGCCCAGCTCTACTCACAACCACACACACACACACCTCCCCTCACTAGCAACTATATGTCCCAAAGCCCTGGTGCTATTGATAGGAAACTACATAGTATCTTCTGGGCTTCGAAGTCCAAGTACTAGGAGTGGGTGTAATGATTTCTGCACCTCCCCAATGCACTTTGTGTCAGAGAGGATCAAGCCACATTTCCCACCACCCCTGGAAGAGCGCTGTTGGATGGAGGGAGTACCCCAAGGAGCCATATAGGAAAAGCAGCCAGCTAGTAGAGTCCAAGTGGGAGGTGGAAGTTTGTGGTCCCATCCTATAAAAACAGCAAGGGTGAGTAAGGCTGGGGGGTGGGGTGGGGGACAGGGAGTAACGAGTCAGCATGTGGGCACAGATGCCTAATTAGCTGTTGTCACAGGATTTTTCACCATTTTGGTCTGATGAAGGCTGGATCCCAGTTATGGTCTGTATGCTACTGGGGCTCTCTTAAAAATCTGAAACCTGAATTTTCACTTCGGCTGCTTCCAGATCCAGAAACCACTGGGGTAGCCCACCTCTTCCAGGTTTAAAGAGCAGCATAATGCCTCATTTTTTAAAGAGAGAAAAGAAAGGATTATTTAATCTGAATAGGATACTTTTAAAATATCCCACATTTGGCATGAGTGAAATGAGAAATTACAAATTCATTTAATCAGCTTCCTAAGCAGAAATGGCATTGCCTCATAAACCCAGAAGATAGCAAAAGCCTCTTTCTCTGGGATGACTGAGGAATGTTGGTGGCACATGATAGCGGGGATGAATGTGAGAGTGCTCTTCAGTTGGCATGGAATTGTGCTGAATGAAGTTTTACGGTGGGCTGTCACAGACAGAAGTAAAAACAGGCTTCTGATCGAGACCCAAACAATAAGAAATACCTGCAGATTTCTAATGTGCTAGAATTTCCCTTCCTCTAACCCAGCCACAAGAGCCTGACCGATGGGTTGGCTGTTCTCCCTGTTCTACCTTCTTTCAGTTACACTCATTGTATTGGTTAGCAATAGCATACAGTTGATTAATAGATTTGGTTTCCAAACTTTTTTGTTCCAGAGAACTTGTTTCCATTTAAGTGATTATTTGTCCCTATCTGCTTCCCTCCCCTACCTAATTTGGGAAAGGACACAATGCCATGTAGCATTCCATGAGACAAACATCCCATTTGAACACAGTAGCTATCATTACCAAAGGAAATTCCTTTTTTCACAACTGTTGATCTGTTTCTGCTCCCTTTGCCTTACCAAATGTCCACATGCTTGAACACTCCTGTGGCACGTCATTCTGTAAGCAGACAGTCATCTTTCTTGGCTTTCCAATCTGTCATTCATCCATTCTATTAATATGGTGCTCGGCCTTTGCCTCATCTTATTCACCTGCTACAGCTTTTTCAGTCCTTTTCTCTCAGCTCAGCTGTCTGTTTGGTATGATTTATCATCACATTTCACCAAAGAAAAGAGAATGTTATTTTTGTTTGTTTGGGGTTTGTTTATTTTTTTAGAAGTGTGTTTTTCCCCCGGGAGATTTAAAACAGATGCTTTAAAGTCAACTGTAACAATTGAGTAACTGTAATTAGATACAGGACGGTCAAGATTGTTGTTCTGTCTGACCAGCAAAGCATATTTGATGTTGACTATTGTTAATTACATTGTGAACCCTGTTCGTTGTTGTTGTTTTAAGTGTGCCAGCTGTAATTTTTCAGATATACCCCATCATCTCGGCAGACCAGCCAGGAGGAGGGCAAAGAGTGGCTGCGCTCCCATTCCACTGGAGGTCTGCAGGACACTGGCAGTCAGTCCCCTATCGTTTCGCCTTCAGCTATGTCTTCCTCTGCAACTGGGAAATATCACTTTTCCAACTTGGGTAAATGAATTTTTCCCCTTGCTTCCCACACTAAAAAATAATCATAAAACTGAATATTTTACAATGCATTGTTTAGTCTGTCTAGCTAGGTACCCTTCCCCACACCCTCCTCCTCCCTTACCATAGTATCTGGGCACCTCACAAACATTAGTGAATTTATCCTCACAGCATCTCCATGATGTAGGCAGGAGTTTATCCCTATTTTACATGTGGAAAAGAGGCACAGATTTCGTGCCCACAACCACACAGGAAGTCCACAGCAAAGCTAGGAATTGAACTCAAATCTCCTGACTGTTATGGCAGCGTCTTAACCACAAGACTGTCCTTTCTCCCTCACAGCCTGATCCAGCCATCAACAGAATTATTTCCAATTGTTTTAGTGGGCATTGGATCAGACTTTTAATCCCTTCTCCCATTTGGGTAATAGTACATACTGTAGCTTTGTTTTGAGATGGGCCCAGATTCAACACTGGGAACATTTGGATCAGTAGACAAACTTCTTGGCTGAACCATTTATCTGATATGGGCCCAACCACAATCCTGTCTCCAAATGCCCCCACACTTCAGAATAGTTTGGATCCAGGTCAGGATGTGAAATTGGCTGCTCTGTTCCTGCTCTGGATTTTATTACTAAGACCTCTTTTTCACCTTCTCTTTATGACAGAAAATACTACTTTTGGGTACCTGTAGACAAATAAACTAAAGACTTGAATGGATGGATGATTTTTTTCCATTAGTTGTTTGTGGATACACACACTGTGGTTTCATTCCAGTCTTACAATGTTTTGTGTTTTGTTTACTTTATATGATCTTTCTGCTGAAATTTTTTATTCAGCAATTTTTGAAAACGTAGAATACCTCAGCTCCCTTATAGTAAAAATATGCTTTGTTTGTTGGGTCTGTCTCTCTGTCCTCCCACAGTGTTCGGGTCTCACTGACTTAAACAGGATCAAATGTCAGACCTGCCGTAATTGTCATGCTCTAATAGCTGGCCTACCGAAGGTGTGAACCCTAGTTTTACACTTAGCTCTTATGTTTGAGGCCATTACTACAGAACTAGCAATAACCTGTGAAACATTCACACTTCGGTAGTGCTGCTGTTAGATCTGTATCCTCTGTAGGTTGCAGCCACTATAGAGCAACTTTATCAGGCACAAAAACATAAGGCTTTTTATTATACTACCTAAAATGCTGAACAAAGACATTTTTATAAGCAAAATTAGATATAGTCTAAGCAAACCACTGGTTGGGACATTTTCATGTATTTGTATTGGTTTTAAACATAAAGATAACTCTCTTTAGCACAGATTTCTTCTTGCTACCTATCACTATTATTTTTTTCCTTCTTCTTTTATAGTCTTGTGCTCACTTAGTAGCTTTTCCCACAGCAGAGACCAATATAATCTACTGTTGCAATAGCTTATTTTGTTCTGTCCTTCCTCTTTTATCAGAGTAACAGTCCTATGGAATAAATGGCTCTCAGAAAAAAACAAAACAAAAAAACACTGCTGTTATGATTTCAGACAAATCCAGCTCTGCTGGGAATCTTTTGGTCTATAGAGCAGATCAAGACACGAATCAACAGGCTGACTCTGGACAGACAGTATTGTTTTTCTAGGCCCTAATTTTACATAGGCCAAGGGCTCATATCAAGCCTCCCATTTCACTGGCAAATCAACATTCCAATAGCTGAGAGTAGTTTCCTGAGTGCTGATCTGCAGCTGAACCAAGAGTAGATCAGTTACTCCTGTTTCTTAATGTCAGCCAGCTGGCCCATGTGGGAGCATCTATTGAATATGGTGACAGGGTGCTATGGAATACTCTAAATAGCGAACAAAGAGATTAAAAATGGATTTTTGCACAGAGAACCTTAATTTATAGGTACTATTGTAATCTATATAACAATTAATAATATTTGAAACATTTTTAACTGCAGAGAATAATTGGCTTGGTTAGTAAAGTTCCTCTGTGAACAAAAATGATGAACATTCACTTTTAATTTTGTAATTGATGGGGTTCATTCCTTCCTCTGATTTTCTGTCTTATCCATTATTGCAGTCTCTCTTTGCCTGACAAGATGAACAAGTGGCATAGTCAGATGTCAACATTGGTATTGCTCTGTGTTCTGCAGCATTATTATGTGTAACAGTTACCCTAGACTGACTACTTTGGTGTTGCATGATAACTTCAGGCCTAAGAATGAAAGCCTTTCATTTCATCAGCAGTGAAAAGCCCACCTATCCCTGTGTGCCACTGTTTTCATTTTGCACAGAACAAATCCCCAATAACGGAACATACCTTACAAATAACGCTTTGCATTGCAGTGAGTCCAACCAACCTGTCCCAGTTTAACCTTCCTGGACCCAGTATGATGCGTTCAAACAGCATCCCTGCACAAGACTCTTCTTTTGACCTGTATGATGACTCCCAGCTGTGTGGCAGTGCCACATCCTTAGAAGAGAGACCACGAGCAATCAGTCATTCAGGCTCATTCAGAGACAGCATGGAAGAAGGTAGGACTGAGTTAACACTTTGATAAGCAAATAAAACACAAATGTAGCAGGATTCTATTTAAATGGCCACCTTGAGTTGTAAATATTGAAATAATTTAGTAAACCTTTCTGATTTATAGTGAACTGGATTTGTAGCACCTCTTGCTCTGTTTGAGCACAAGAACGGGTATTTACAATAAGCTGGGATAGGCAAGGACATGTTCTTTATAGATTGAACACATTCTATGTGTCACTTATTAATTGCCTGGGATAGTTTTTGAGCTATAGGAAGTAGGATGCAGAAAATGTGGAAGGAAGGGCCTAACTCTTATTCTTGGGAAATGATTTTATCCTTTCTGCCTCAAATGCTTATCCATGCCTTGGTTATCTCCTGCCTTGACTACTGCAGTCTCCTCCTCATTTAATGGTCTTATTCCTATCTGTCTTCCCTCCATTTTTTAAAATGCTAAAACAGTCTTCCTCACCCCTATTATTATGTAAGTGATGACAATGTGATTGGCACTGTACAAGAAACAAAAATAAAGACAGTCCCTTTCCCCAATCAGCTAACATTTGTGAGACAAAGAGGAGACAGGATGTACTGAGTGACATAAATAACCGATTATGTATGTTTTAAATTGTTTTATTTGGCTTTTTTGATGATATATCAGTGAGTGGCAGTCATCTGCTTAGAGAAGTTAGGTGAATTGATGCAAGCATACAATGTCACCTAAGGGTAAGATCTGGACGGGACTGTGACAGCACCCTGAGGGGAAGGGGCAGTGAGGAGGAAACAACAAAAGGAGCAGTGGAAGGGTGGAGAACAGGACCAGAAAATCCAAGTTAAAACAGGGCGCCAAGTAAGAAGTTGCAATGAAGAGGTCATCAGAGATCTTGGAGAGAGCAGTTTCACTGGAGCAGAGTGGATGGAAGCCAGACTGGAGTGAATGCATGAGTGAGTTAGGGGAGAGGAGGTCAGTGCATCAGTAGTAAATGGACCTTAGTAGTTCATAGACCTTAGAGGTGAAGTGGAAAAGGGGCATGAGTTGATATAGATAAAGAGGGAAATGTGGCCAAAACGTATTTTATTTTGGATGGGAAATTAGAGCTAACTTACACAGTGAAGGAAAGGAGCAAGAAGAGCATGTGAGGGTGAGGGTGAGGGTCAGGGAGGCTGAATATGTGAGAGTAAGGGCAAGGGAGGTTAGTAACTGGGAGGGGATGGTATCAAGGGCAGAGCTGGAAAGGTTAACAGAGTGATGGCAGGTGGAAGGAGGGGTTGCAACTATCATTTATAAATATCTCAGGATGGACATTGGATCCTGTAGTATCTTGAAGTGTACCCAGGATATTGGTAATAATTACCAAATACTAAGGTGATTTAAAGTCTAGGTTCCCTATCAAGAAATGTTTTAATTGTTAATATCTCATGCATGGCACACACACATGCTTCAGATAGTTATTAAAACAGCATAATATGGTAAACATTTTTTCCTGGTTAAGAGCAAATATGAAACAACCTGCACAACTGTGGAATTTTTGTTCAGGCAGTACTGAATAACATTTCATTTATTGTATTAAAGATAAACCAACAGATCTTCTCTGAGGTTCTGTATTGGAGCATCTTCCCTCAGGATCTACCTTAAACGTTGTGAGGCTAAACAGAAGTGGCTTTCAAATGTTCTCTCGCTGTAGTCCTAACTGGCCACTTTCCAGAGCCCTATGGCCCATTCATTGGGACCAAATCCTACAGTCTTTATGCAGTGCTTAGAGAGGATAAAATCCTTTGATGGTCAATCAGAATACAGCAGTGCATATTGCAGCACCACTTGCCTTTAAATACAAAGGTGCCAAAGCAGACTACAAGTCCAAGCATGCAGTGCTCTATGTTGATCTGAAGAGAATGACCAGATAAGAAAGACCTGGGCATTTACAGTGGCTCCTATATCATTGGCAAGGCACTCCTCCATATGAAAGATGAGCTTGCTGCATGCTGTGCTTTAGAACTCTGCAGTCAGCACTCTGGATAGATGGGTGTTCATAGCACCATCTCTGGTCGCTTGAAACTCTGTGTTTATCAGGTGCTTCACTGCCAAACAACAGAAATAATGTTTGGTTTCCTGGTGAAAATACTGTATCTCATTAAAAATTGCTCATACCTACAGTACACAGGCAAAAGTTTCTCCATTTAGAGCAATCATTTCAAGTTCAAGAAAAATAACTGCGGTTTGTGTACACTGATAACCTCTAATAGCTACTCTTTGTGGAAGATTGTTTCTCATTTTGAAAAGAGATGCTCTGCTATTGAGCTCCACAGGGGAGGGCTCATGCTGTTTCATCAATATTTTATATAATGGCACTTTTTTTTTTCATTTTTGTAGTACATGGGTCCTCATTATCACTGGTCTCCAGCACCTCCTCTCTCTATTCTACAGTAAGTATTGATAGTTTAGGAAAATAAAAAAAGTCCTGCCTGTGATATTGTACATCTCCAATAAAGCTTTCTAGCTCATTAAATAGTTTTAAGTTTAGTGGATTAAAATTGCATGTAAGTATTGCAGTAAAGCAGTGGAACAGCTATTTGACTTCAATATTATACTTTTGCTTTTTCATATATAATTAGCATCTTTTTTTCCCTTAAGTGGTGAATTTAGCGCTCACTAAACCTTCTGTGGTGTAATTTGAAGGCTGAAATATAAAAAAAAAAAAATAACATGCTGAGTCCAACCTCACGTGGGGCCGCTTATTATTCATTGCACTATATTACTGTGCTATGTAATTTTTGACTGATTTCATCATTGTTTGGTGTTTGTGCTCTTTAAAGCAAGGTCTTGTAATTAGGTGCCCTGTGGAGCGTTTTTTTAATGGTGCTGTTTGAAAAATTCCTCTTAAAAGTATAGGGTTGTTTAGGGGGATACAATGTCTAGTTTAAATGCCTGTTGATCCTTCACAAAAATGACAAGTTTCTAGATGTTCTTTTCAAAGAGAAAAGTAGTTTCTTTAAAATTAATTTATTTCATTAAATATGTTTGCCCAGCCCAAATCGAAGTTTGTTTTTAAGTCTTCATTTGATTTGGGCTTTTTTTGTAAAAGGGAGACATTAATTCTGATTTTTGTGTGATATGTTGTTGCACCTGTTATGCTGTTGAAGGGCAATGATTTACTTACAAAAGCCTTAATCACAGAGTAGCTGGAGTGCAAGACATATGTCCATATTTTAAATGAGAAGAGTTATGTATGTGTTTAGTATATTCTCTTGAGTAATGGATAAGTGATCCTTTGCAATCTTTTAGCTAGCTACCGTTAGAATAGATGTTGTTGAGCCCCTCATGAGGATGAGAAGGTGTAAGGAGCATGTTTCCTCAATCCTCCTACCCCTTTGTACCCTATACACTTGCAGAAGGGGCATCCGTTGTCTCAGTCCTTGTGTTGCTGGTGATTAGCTCTGACGTTGTCTACTGTTGACAGTTGCTGCACTGGCCAGCAGAGCATGCTGCCTCCATTCAAAGAATATTGCAGCTCCTCCTCAGATGGGGGCTCCCTCAGTCCTCACAGTCACTACTGAAAAGCCGGCATGCCTCTCTGAGTTGCCTCTTGGGGTGGAGTGTCTCCACACACACTAACCCCAAAACAGGCTCTGGCAGTAACATTCAGAACTTCCATTTTCCTAGTGGAAGAAGCCCTGCTGCCACTACCCTCTCTTGGAGGCATTATAATCTATTCTCATAGGGAGTATCAAAAGCTGTATTTCAGCTCTGATGTCAGTTTTTTAGAAGAACTGGCAGATGGACAAAAAGCAAATGATAAAGTGACACCTAGAGCTTTCATCATTTGTTTGAGCAGTCAGCAGTTTTGCAATATCTCAGTCCCAATATTTTATATTGTTGCAAGGATATAATAATACTTTGTGTTTGCATAACCTCTGCCACTTAAGATCTCAAAGGACCTTTCAACCATTAGCTGAGCCTCACAGCACCATATTTTTAATAGGTGACCTGAGGGACAGAGTTTAAAAGACTTAGCCAAGGTCACACAACAAGTCAGTGACTAGCAATACATTTTGAGACTTCTGACTACCAGTTCCCTTCTTTAGCCACTAGACCACACTTCTTGCTAAGTTATTGATCATGTAGCTGTGGTAATGGAAGCTATAGAAAGGTTTTGTTAAGGGCAAGGAAAGAATTAGGACTATAAAACTAGTGATTGCGCTTGCAGGAAGAAAATCCTTGATCAAAATTTCTCCTGCTGGGTCCTCTGTGCTCCAGTGAAAAAGTTCAGACAATCTTGCAGCAATTAATCAGGAAGCAGTGCACAAGTGGAAACATCGGACAAAAGATTGGCTTTCAGTATCAGATCAGCTGAACATAAAGAACAATGTTTCATTGTTCAGTGATATTATTCGGTGCCCCACTTCTTCCAGAAAGAGGTAGCTTCAGAGGGGTTATGGTACACATAATTCATTTTCTACCATTATTAGATCCCAGCAGGAAGAAGAAATAAAAGAGCTGGAAGTTTTCTACAGTTCAGGCCAAAAGTATCATGCAAGAATTCCATAGCAGCCCTCATTTCAATAAATGTCTTGAGTAACGATGTTTATCAATCTCTTTAACCACTGCCTTCATTCTTAGCATTATAATTTTGCTACAGCTTAATCAGTAATTAGTGGGGAGACCAAGAGAGAGTAGCAGGTAAAGAGCATGTTGCTTAGATTATCAGCAGAGATCAGCAAAAGGGCTGGAGTCTGAGATTCAGAAGGATGTACTCTTTGAGTGCTGATATTGCATTTCTCACAATGGAGAGGTCCAATGAGAAAGGACTTTAGAATTCATTAGTTTTTTCAGTATGTATTGTGGTTTTTTTAATTGTTTTTGTTTGTTTGATCTAATTCCATTTGTAGTTTCAGATGGCATTCAGACATATTGCAGATCTAGCTTTTGGAGACATTGTGCATGTAAGGGGCCAAACAGTTTTGTTTCACAGCACAGTTTGCCATATAGTGGGTACTAGTAGATTGTGGCATACCAATAGTTTCTCAGCTTTGACAGAAAACTGGTGTAGCTTACTCTATAAGGAGCTGACAGAAGGTGCACAGTGGTGTAAATTTAAAATAGCCTACTATAATTTATACCATCTTACACCCTTCTGTTCCTTTATTTGCTATATTCCTCTCCTGGCTCCACAGCATGTGACATACACTTAGAGTCCCTTAGCTTTAGTAAACCAACTAAGAGGTGATGTGTAAGGGAGTTGTAAATTACATGTTAATATTTTGTTGTGAGGCTAAAAAATTGATTGTAGTGGAGTCAGTTTAAGCTCCCTTTAGACTCCTGTAGACTTGCCTCAGAATTTGGCTGTCAGTATCACATTATGTTCCAAAAGCCTGAGGCTGGACTGTTGTGGTGTTAGTTTGCATTTTAATTTTAAGCCTTAGATTAATTAGTTTTGTGTCACAGGTTATAGTTTACAAGTTGGTATTGCCTCCACAACCCCATTTCGTTCCTTCTGTTTACATCCTTCACCTAGCATTAAAAGACCAGTTTTCTGGAACTTGTCCCTTTGAGGAGTGGGTATGGCTTTCTGCTCCATTCTGTTTTTTGGCCAAAGGGAGTCATCTAATTACAAGAGGATGTGCTTCCTCCTTTGCCAGATATGCAGTGGCTGCCATAGTATTGTCAACTGCTTTGGGCCCAGAAATGAAGCAACCTACATCAGATCCCCATGTGGCATTTTCAGTTGCTT